GTAGGCTGGAAAGAGCTTTAGTTCTGACATAAACAGGTTTGAATTTCAGTCCTGTCTCTCACTTGCTGTGCGACCTTAAGTAAACTGTTCTCTCAGAGCTACACTTTCCTGCTCCATCAAATGAGAATAATGCCAACTTAAGATTCTTGTACAGATTAACAGAAAGTACATAGGAGGCCAGCAGATGGCATGGTGATTGGGGTGCTGGACTCCCACATGGCCAGCCACGGTTTGAGTCCCAGACCTGGTGGGCTGGGAATCATGCCGGGCACATGTGCATGCATGCCCAAAATCCCAAGAGGAGAATGGAGGAGAGGGAATAAGAGCCTGGCCAGCACCCCCTGGGAGGTGATTTCTCATTTTTCCCTCTCTCTGTTTCTCCAGTAAATGTCCTATGGCAAGAACATTAAAAAAAGAAAGAAAGAAAGAAAGAAAGAAAGAAAGAAAGAAAGAAAGAAAGAAAGAAAGAAAGAAAGAAAGAAAGAAAGAGAAAGAAAGAGAGAAGAAAAGAAAAATAGAAGTAACATACATAGGCACAGATCTGTCCTTATATGCACTTAATAAATATTAATTCCCCCTTCTCTTCCAGAGAAGTCTGTAAGCACCATGCAGCCTGACCTTGTCTCTCAAAAGAAAGATTATCCTTAAAAAAAGATATCGTTTTATGTTTCCTTGTGCTCAGCAAGCAGTCACTCTCTCTTCCAGAAGAATTCAGATCACATTCTCAGCTCTCTCTCTGTAGCATACAGTTGAGTGTAACTTTCTTAGTCACTGAGTTCCTTTCAGAAATCAGCAAATACATAATGTGATTTTTTTTTGTCCTTTTGTTTGAATTTTTATTTGGCATGTAATAAGGTTGTTATGATTCTGGAGACTTGGAAGAGATTAAAAAAAAAAAAAAACCTCCCCCTTATAGTCACATCTTCCACAAAACACACTTAAAAAAAAAAAGAGCAAACTGGGTCACTCAGTGCCAAATCAGCAACAATCTTGAGACGGGTCTAGAAACCAAATGTTAAAACCTCTATCAAAGATACATGACTGGGACCAGCAGTTAGTGTAATGGCTATGTTGCTGGACTCCCATGTGGTCGACCACAGTTCGTGTCCGGGACTTGATGACTTAAACCTCACGCCGGGCACGTGTGCATGTGTGCCCAAGATCCAGAGAGGAGAATGGAGGAGAAGGGATTGCGGCATGGCCATCCCCCCTGGGGTGATTTCTCACTTCCTGTCTCTCTGTCTCTGTCTGGCGAGCGCACGCGCCCTATAGCAAAAACCTCTAAAAAAAAAAAAAGATATATGAGTAAGAGTAAAGCAATAGACTGAAAAAGTTGATTTCCTTGGTTACAGCTGAAACTGTTGTCCCCAGTCTAGCTGACCCAAGAACATAGAGTAGGTACGGGCTGGCTGCCTAAGAACTTGGCACCATTAATTTTTTTTCTTACTCTCAATAGATTCCCTCATTGTGTTAGTGGTCTGTAGTTAATTTTTTTCTAATGAGACTAGGTTAACTAAAATCATCTGACATGGAAAAAGGAGGAGGTAAGGTTAAAAAGGAACCTAATTAGCAAGTTAATTATAGCAGGCAAAAAAGTCCACGGGTTATATAAATAAGCTATTGTGATGTGCATGCAAGTTGGGCCTTGTCAAGGGACTTGTTAAGGTTTAGAGGTCAAAGGATCCATGTAATTAGGTGTTTAGGGAAAAATAAATAAATAAAAGGAAAACAGCTACTAAAATTAGGAATGGTTGATGAGCCACTAACAGAAATGTCTTATTAAATTGGGGCTGTACTGCTGAAGGGGTTGTTGGAACTGCTTCAGGGATTCCAAGGAAGGCTAACTGCCCCGCCACCACTACCACCAGAAAAAAAAAAAAAAAAACTAGTTGGAACCAGAGCCAACCGAATTGCTGATGAGGAAAGTTTAAAGACCTGGCCACAAGGGTCCCTGGATGAGAGAGGTGGCAGTGGGGCTGGCAATGTCACCATGCTGAGCAGCAAGAAGAAATACATTGTCAATGGCAACTCTGGGATTAAAGCCCAGGTGAGGCTGAGCTCTTACCAGTCTTGCTGTCGCTGTAGCCATTATCTAGAAGGCTAGCTACTTGTCCCCGCTTGTTCCTTCTCCTGTTTCGTCCCTCCCTCTGGCAGGAGGTGAGCTACCTTCTCTTTTCCTTTCTTGCCTTAATGCTTGATGAAATTAGGCTCTCTCTGAACGTAAAGGACTCTGGTTTCAGACAAGGTAGGAAGGTTAGAGGTAGAATTTTCCAAAGTACCACAACTGGGGTGGGAAGATGGCTTGTTACAAAATGGACTGTTAAGTAAAGACTATGATGACGTTTAATCTGAAGGGGAGATGGGCACCAGGGATGACCACTTAACTCCTGCGTTCTAGTTATCAATGAAAGATAAACTTATTTTTTGGGAAAAGTGTATAACTTCAAGTGGTTAGTTTCCCTAATACTTTTCTGTTTTAAGGAAACTTGAATTCAGTTTGTAAACAGTAAACAAGGTTTTCGAACTCTGTTGTAAGTGAAGAAAGCTTGTATAAGTCTAGTCTTTAATGACAAAAGACAGTCTACAGTCGTCCTGGGTGGGAGGGATTACGTGGATAAGATTATAGAGAAGAAAGCTCAGCTTAGAGAAGCTGGTTTGATAATACAGCTAGATATCTCTATGTTTTGTGCTATTGGGGTAAATAGGTATGTACTCACCCTGATCCTTCAAATCTAGAGAATGAGAGTGACTGGCCCCCTCTAGTGGTGTGTGTGTTTGATGTATGTGCACATGTATGCAAGTGTGTGGTTGGGATGGTTTGTGTTGCATAACTAAGGCATAGCTTATCAATTATTCTTTTTTAAAAGGTGCCCTGCCCAGTTAGTAACTCAGTGTGGCCTTTGGAAAGTACATTACTACTCTTTTTTCTAGTGGGTCTCATAAAAAATAATAAAAATGGGGCCAGCAGGTGGCATAGTGGTTAAGGCGCTAGACTCCCACGTGGTCAACTGTGGTTCAAGTCCCAGACCTGGCGGCTTGCTTTTTCACTTTCCCTCGCTCTGTTTCGCTCTGGTGAGCACATGTGTCCTATACCAAAATTTTTTAAATAATAATAAATAAAATTAAATAATTAATTCATATATACATATATATATAAAGATATGCCACAGTTGGTGAAATGGAAGCAGGTTTTGATCCTGACTACTATCTAACTCCCACCCTCTCTCCATCTTTCTTCCCCTTCCAAATGCAGCCAGCAGGTGTCATGGTGGTTAAGGCACTGGATTTGCCCATGGCCAGCCATGGGTTGAATCCCAGACTTAAAAATCATGCTGGGCATGTGCACATTGCATGCCCAAAATCTCAGGAGGAGAATGAAGGAGAAGAGATTATGGCGTGGCCATCCCCCTTGGGGAGGGGGTCATTTTTCACCGCTTTTGTCTCGCTCCAGCCAGAACACATGCCCTCTGACAAAAACCTTTATTTTTTTCCACTTGTAGACTTGGTGTATCCTGACTGTATTTAGAGAATATTCAACTAGCATAGCAATACAGTGAAGCTAGATTAGGCTACTTCAGATTCGTGGATTCTGCACCTCGTTGAATGCTAGTATGTGCCAGGTCTTTGCACCTGAGGTTATAAGGCTGAGTAAGATACACAGCACCCGCCTTTATTGGAGCCTTTGGACTACAAAGTAAATAGTCATATTCAGTGTGATAGGTCAGTTGTGCTAGAAGTGCATGTGTACTCCTTGGTATAGATAGAAAGGCCACTTGCATTTTAAAGTATCAGTTAGAACCTTCAGCAGTAGGAGAAAGAGATCTAGTTGAAGGAGAGTCATCATCAGATATTTTCTTCAATGCAGCCTCCGGAATATGACCTGAGGTTCATGCTTATTCAGTCCTCTCATCTACTCCTTCGACATCTGTTACAGACACTACGTGATTGATCTTGTGGCTTTCAGTATTTAGCGATACCAAACTTTAAATGGTAATAAAGTATTATTGATGTTTACTTACTGCTGGAAAGCTGACTAATACATTTTGGAAAGTCTTTAACAAGTTAGAGTGGGTTTATCCTGTCATGTTTCACATTGTACCTGCATTATCTCACTTAACTCTTAAATCCCGTTAGGTAAGTACTTTCATCTCCACTGTATTTATGGGATAATTAGGAGACCAAAAGTATCTTGACCAACAGCATACAGTGAATGAATGGCATAGGCAGATTTTGAATTTAGTTCCAGAACATTCTGTTTGAGTGTAAGGCCTTTAAAAAATTTTTTTCAGAAATTTTTGCTATAGCGCATGTGCACTCTCCAGAGACAGAGAGATAGAGAGACAAAGCAAGAAATAACCTCCCAGGGGGGGAAAGCCATGTTGCAATCCTTTCTCCTCCATTCTCCTCTTGGGATTTGGGGCACATATGCATACATGCGCAGTGTGAGTTTCAAGCCTCCAGGCCCAGGACTTGAACTGCAGTTGACCTTGTGGAAGCTCAACACCTTAATCACTATGCCGTCTGCTGGTCCTTAAAATATTTTTTATATCATTCCATTTCCTGAGACTCTTGAAACCTAAAGACATATCATTTTACTTTTCAATATCTAGCAGCTTTCTCACCTAGCTATGTGATGGTTCTATATGGACTGTCCCAAAGAAATCGTCTTTCTTTCCAGCTTCAATTTTCAGTGAAACTATAGAACGGTTTCTGAAATGGCTCAGCTTTCTAAAAATACATTTCAGTCAGCACACCCCTCTTTTTATTAGTAGCAATTTTATTGTAAAAAAACATACAAAGAGTGGATCAAAATTTTAAATTTGATAGAAACACAATTGATAATGAAAAATCATTCTTCAAAGTCTTAGTATTCCAAATAGAGGGTAGTACAGTCAAGTCAACTCTGAGGGATGGTAAGAACCTGTGATGCAAGCCTTGAATTTCTGTCTCAAAATAAATGTTTTTTCCCTTTATATAACTAGACTTCTTTTACTTAGCAGATCCAATTTGCTGACCAGAAGCAAGAATTCAACAAACGTCCCACCAAAATTGGACGTCGTTCTCTGTCTCGTTCCATTTCTCAGTCATCTACCGACAGCTATAGCTCAGGTGAGTACCGAACTGTGATGGGTGCACCTGTCAAGGCTGATAAGTATGATCAAGGCTCTTCCTCCCTAGCCAAGGTGAGTTAAGCAGAATCATGCCTGCACTTTGTATAAACAGGTTGAGTCAAAATTCAGACCCAAATTCTAGATGGAATTCTTGAATTTCTCTTGGGAATTCAGAGTGGAGCTTAATGGAGGCCTCCTCTTCCAATAGAGGCAGAAGAGAGTGAGTCGGGAAATTTGATCTGCTCAGAAGGATGGATCTATGTTGCTCACAGATGACCTCCGCTGAATAGCATGTATAAGATTATGTTTTTTCTGTTCTCTGAAAATATAAGGGTTCCCTACCCCTCCATCTAGTACTTGCACATTATCAGAGAAACTTCAGTTGCACTTAGAAATAACGAAGATTTGGGGCTAGCAGGTGGCGTGGTGGTTAAAGGCGCTGGACTCCCACATGGCCAAGCATGTGGCTTGCTTTCTTACTTTCCCTCTCTCTCTTTGATCAAACTAGAAAATAATAATAATAAATAAAGTTTAATAGAATAATTCTAAAAAAAGAAAGAAAGAATGAAGACTTTGTAGCTTAGTCAATCAGTGGTCCCTTTGCCTTCTTTTCTAAGATGTGCCATTGTACTGCTTATTGTTTCTTCCTTCTTTTTTTTTTTTTTTTTTGAGAGAGGTTTTTGCTTTAGGGCGCATGCGCTCGCCAGACAGACAGAGAGAGAGACTGAGAGACAGAAAGCAAGAAATCACCCCCCAGGGGGGATGGCCACACTGTAATCCCTTCTCCTCCGTTCTCCTCTCAGGATCTTGGACATGCACGCACACGCACCCGGCGTGAGTTTAAGCCACCGGGTCCAGGACTTGAATCGCGGTTGACTACGTGGGAGTCCCGTGACATAGCCATTACGCTAACTGCTGGTTCCATTGTTTCTTCCTTCTTTACAGTGGTATTAATTCAAATACATGTGTCCTAGACGAACTTACCATTTAATGCTAGGTGTGCTATTTCTTTAAGTCTCCTTGACAGCATTGGCCATTTGTGCTACAGTGCCCAGAATGGGTCTGACTCAACATGGAGCTATTTTTTCCTTGTTCTGTGTTGGAATGTGATAGAGAGCTGAGTATTTAGCCTAGTTACCTCCTCATTTTATAAATAGTAATAGTCATTATAAAATTTTTATCATGTCCTGAAGTTTTTATTTGTTCTTCACACAAATAGGAAGGTAGTATTTGTTATGTAAGGTTGAAGAAAGATTTTTTTGAGAAGTTGTAGCTTTTAAGGTAGGAAGATTTTTTTGTTGTTGTTCTTAAGAATTATTTTGTATTTATTTATTTATTTTAATTTGACCAGAGAGGGACAAAGAGAGAGAGAGGGAAAATGAGAAAGCAAACTACCAGGTCCGGGACTCAAACAGCGGCTGGCCATGTGGGAGTCCAGCATCTTTAACCACCATGCCACCTGCCAGCCCCAGGAAGATTGTTATTTACACACTATACATTTCTCTTTTTCCTTTCCCCCTACAAAAACTGTAAATTATATAAAACATATGACATAAATTCCAATAAACTTTTATCTAAACATAGAGTTTTGTACCTATCTTATCCTGCTAAAATAGGTGGTATTGAAAATTCATGAACTAGAGGGGGCCGACAGGTAGCGTGGTGGAGGGTGCTGGACTCCCATATGACCAACCACGATTCGAGTCTCAGACCTGACAGCTTCCTTTCTTACTTTCTCTTTCTCTCTCTCTCTCTTTCTGTCCTTCTCTGGTCTTATTAAAAACAAATGAATAAGGTTAAATAATATATAACATTTTAGATTGTGGGTTTGTACATCTAAAACTTAATACTAAATAATAATGATCCTAAATTTTAATTCCACCTCAGTCTCCCTCCTACATGCTAGATCCACATATTCAGTTGTGTTCCTACAGAGGAAATCAATGCCTGCCTTCCCACCCAACCTTCATACACAGGGAGGGTGCTTAACAAAGTATTTATTTACCTAGAAAAGTATGGCTGATGTCCTTGGTTGCTAAGCAAGCACGTAATTACCTGGTGAGTGATAATGACTGGTGCCATCATGGTGAACTTGGACCTTTTAGACTGAACTACTACATGAGATTGCTGTTATAATAATAGTAATAATAATAAAGGGCCCAGCAAATGGCATAATGGTCATATTGCTCAGCTCCCACATGGCTGACCGTGGTTTGAGCCCTGGACCCGGTGGCTTAAAACTCATATCAAATGTGTGTGTGTGTTTGCTCAAGATCCAGAGAAGAGAATGGAGGAGAAGAGATTGCAGTGTGGCCATCCCCCTGGTGGGTGATTTCTTGCTTTCTGCCTCTCTGTCTCTTTCTGTCTCTCCAGTGAGCTCACACACACTGTAGCAAAAATCTCTCTCTAAAAAAGTAAATAAGAAAAAAATTATCAGCCTATAATAACTTGAAAAAGCAGAGAATCAAAGTATTATAGTTTAAAAAGTAATTTAAAGATCTGGGACCAGCAGATGCGTAATGGTTATGTGGCTGGACTCCCACGTAGTTGACCGTGGTTTGAATCCCAGACCTGATGGCCTGAAAGTCATGTTGGGTGCATGTGCGTGCATACCCAAAATGCTGAGAGGAGAATGGAGGAGAAAGGATTGCAGGGTGGCCATCCCCCCCGGGGGGGGGGTGATTTCTCACTTTCTGTCTTTCTGTCTCTCTCTGTCTCTCAGGCAAGCACATGCACCCTATAGAAAAAAAAAAAAAAAAAACTCTTTAAAAACTAAATAAATTAATTAAAAAGTTTAAAGATCTAATTCAGTTTCTCACTGAATACTAGCATCTTTGGGACATTTTAATTTTTTTCTTTATTCATAATGATAGAGCTCATGTGTGAACATGAAGCAGAGAGAGAGCAAGAGAAAGAGATATAAACAGGGTCTGGTCACATCATAGTCCCCTTCCTCCAGTCCTCCAGCGCTTTGGATCCTGGATGCTCATGCATATGCCCAGTGACTCAGGCAGACCAGGCCAGGAATTGAACCACAGTCTCCAGGAAGGATACAGCTTATCTCTCTCTCTCTCTTTTAGAGAGAGGTTTTTGTTTGTTTGTTTGTTTGTTTTTGGTGTTTTTATTTTTTATTCTTTTTTTTTGGAGTGGTTTTTTTTTTTTGCTATAGGGTGTGTGCGCTCGCCAGACAGACAGAGAGAGACAGAGAGACAGAAAGCGAGAAATCACCCCCCAGGGGAGATGGTCACGCTGCAATCCCTTCTCCTCCATTCTCCTCTTGGGACTTTGGGTACGCACGCACACGCGCCTGGCGTGAGTTTTAAGCTACCAGGTCAGGGACGCGAACAGTGGTTGACTACATGGGAGTCCAGCGACATAGCAATTACGCTAACTGCTGGTTCCCAGTTGTTTTTTTTTTTTTGCCCCGTTTTTTTTTTTTTTTTTTTTTTTAATAAAGCACGTGCACTCACCAGAGAGATAAAGACAGAAAGTGAAAAATCACACCCCAGGTGGGATGGCCACACTGTAATCCCTTCTCCATTCTCCTCTCGAGATTTTGGGCACGCATGCACATATGCCCAGCATGAGTTTTTGGACTAGTCAACTAGGAGGGAGTCTGTTATGCCATCTGCTGGTCCCAGATCTCGCTTCTCGTAAGCAGTGATTTATAGCTGTGCCATGAAGTCAACTTGTCTTTTGAGCATTTAGATAAGGTACTACTTGCTTTATACAGTTATTTATTTCCTGATAAGCTCTTACATGACCCTGGAAATTCAAAGATTCAACATAGAAACAAAATTTGCCAGTAAAGGGAATAGCAGGTGATGTGGTGGTTAACATTCTGGACTCCTACATGGATGAGTATGGTTTGAGTCCCAGACTTGGCGGCTTGCTTTCTCTCTCTCTCTCTCTCTTCTCTCTCTCTCTCTCTCTCTCTCGTGAGCACATGTGCCCTTATGCAAATTATAATACTACTACTAACAATAAATAAAATTAAATAAATAAATTTTTAAAATTGTCAATACAAATTTTGTCTTAGTTATCCTCATCTGGTTATAGTCCAGGATACTTATCCTTTTAAAAATACTATGCCTATTTGTCCAGATGATAGCATGGTGGATGAAGCAGCCAGATCCCACATGTTCAACTGTGTGATTCAAGTCCCAAACCCGGAGACTTGAGAAACACTGTGGGTATGTGTGTCTACATGACCAAAATCCTGAAAGGAGGGAGAAATGGAGGAATGAAGAAGGGATTGTGTATTGGCCATCCCCCATGGGAGACACTTTCTCTTTCTGTCTCTTCCCACCTTCCCACTTACCCCCACCAGCTACATGTACATTCACCCTCTGGCAAAAATAAAATAAAATTTAAATCCTGTGCCTATGAACAGAATGTCCTAGATCGTCTGAACTAATCTATAGCAAGTGCTATTTCCATGACCTTGGTACTTTAAAAATGAAACCTAAGATTTTATTTGTTTCTGTAACAGTTTCATCATATGTACTATGGAGCCATAGTACATATTTTTGTTTTTGTTTTTATCTTTGTTTTTCTTCACATGAACAATTATCAAGTCCTTTTCAATAAACTCTGTATGGAGTTACCTACTGTGTTGATCCTTGGACTGAGTGTTAGGAGTGACCTAGTTTCTAGTCTTTGATCTTTGTTTGATTTGTTTTGTGATCCTGGAAAACTCTTGCATCTGTTGTGTTTATAGCACAGATAATGGCAAGTTAGATGACACAGAAAAGGCTCCATGCCCATCAAATGAAAAGCCAAAAATAACGGGATTGACGCACAGCTGTATAAATGTGAGGAGATGGGCAAGTGCACGTCAGTAAGAACTCAGTGCCCATTTGGGCCTACAGTGTACAGGCATGAACATGGGAGGTCCCCAAAGACTGGTCCTAGGGTCTCTTCCCTTCTCTTTATGCTGTCTGCCTGGGTGAACTCATTTAGTCTGTCTCAGTTTTAAATACCACACATGGTATTTGA